TAGATTTTTACAATTAAGTTACCTTTAATAAATCAGTGGCTAAGAACAAGTATGCAGATCATAAGTCCTAACTTCTAAGGATGCATTCTTGCTTTGAGTTAGGGAATCTCTTGTAATAAAAGCCAGAAGATCAGAATGACAACCTACTAATGAACATTTCCAGAAAGGTGTCAGGAATGGTAAATACAGGTAGCTGTCTTTACATATCATCAATGTAATATAGCATTGCTAAAATATAATTCATTCTCACCTATTACAGTGATTCAGCTTCAGCTACATCATCTGATGAAGAATCATTGACTGAAGAAGAAATGGCAAAACTCATGGAGCAAGTGGAGGAAAAGAAGAAATTAATTTCCACTATAAGGAACAAGCCCTGGCGTATGAAGAAAAAACTTTCTGTTTTAAGGTAACACTGGAAGTGAAACCTTCCAATTGGCATTTATTAAAATGACATTCAGTATTTTTAGAACAGCTTTTCCTTGATACACTGAGGTTCACACTACATGCAGTGCAGTGCATTTTTTCCTACGTCAAAAAACACATGGACAGAAGATTATACGTTCACACCATTGCAGTGTGTTACAGTACAGTCCACAAAAGTAGAACATGCTGCATTTTTTTTCTGCAAGGAACTGCACTGAGATGTGACAAAATGCATCAAAAAAGCGCTGGAACATATTTAAAAAGCATAAAAATGCATTGAAATGCATTACAGCAGGAAAAAAAAACAACACATCCGGACTGAATTTTTGTGGTGTAAACCAGCCCTGAAAGTCTACTTGAAGGACAAGTTACCTGTATTTTTTTGTCATTCATATATATTACATTTCCGAATGGTCTTGTAGACCAGTCCATTGCAGTGTCTTCTTCTGGTACTAGGATGTCAGTGTCAAGGTTGTGGAAGTTAAATTTTAAGGGCTCACTTTATGGGGTTAACTGTTGGGGAGAGATAAAGATTAAGGGCTTGTTAAAGTGGTTTAAATTGAGAAGGATTATTTTTGCTAGGGCTTAATTTAAAAGTTAAGTGTTTGGGGGATTAAAGGCTATTTTTTTAAAGAATGGTTGAAATGGTTGTAAAGGAAGATTTTTTTTTTAAAATAACAAACATGTCTATAATTACCTGCTCTGAGCAATAGAATTGCACAGAGCGGCCCCCGATCCTCCTCTTCTCAGGTCCCCATCATCGTTCCTAGCTCCTCCCTTCTTGCTGGTGCCCCCCTATTGGAAGCCAATTCCATGGGGGCACTCAGCTGCTGCTGCATCTATTGAGCGGTACACCCGCTCCCTCCTCACTGGAGTAGATTGACAGGATCAGGAGCCAATGGCACATGCTGCTATCGATCTGCCCAGTGAGGAGGGACAAAGCCAGGAGAGCCACAGTTCTCATGCACAGTGCTGGATTATGATGGGTCTCAGGTAAAATATAAGGGGGGGGAGGAAGCAGAGGGGAATTTTACAATAATGAAGGTTTTTTTACAATAATGCATTCTATGTATTAAGGTAAAAAACCTTGAGGCTTTAGAACCACTTTAAGTGGTCTTGTGGTCAGGAAGGATAGAGTTAAAGCTGAAGTTTTGGTAAAAAAAAAAAGTGATTGGGGGATTAAAGACTAGTTTTTAAGGGATGGTCAAGTGGTCTTGTGGTCAGGTCACGCAAGTTAAAGCTGAAGTTTAGCTAAAAAAAAAATTAAACTCCAACAGCTTTACTCACATTGATTACCTGTAATAAATTATGTTCCATGATATGCAAGCAGCTGTATCCTGCAGAAATCATCTCTGCAGGAATGCCTGTCCTCTTCCTGTCTCCGAACTTCCAGCACCGCAATGGTTAATAGCTGTGGGTCTTCAGGCAGAACAGCAGTACAGATTGTCCAATGGGGACATTGCCCTCTCCTTCCTCCTCCTCCATTCAGTGAACCATTTTATTGATTATCTTGATAGTAACATAATCTGTAAATGGGGGAGGTGAGTCACAGGATTATTTCCCTCATGTTACAAGCAGTGTATTCAATGAAAGAAACATTTCCTAATGAAGGAGGAGGAAGGATGGAGTGTGCCCCACCAGACCATCTGTACTACTGTTCTGCCTGAGGTTACAAAGCTGTTAACCATTACAGCTCCTGAAGACCCACAGCCAGGAAGAGGATGGGGCATCGCTGCACAGAAGATTTCTCCAAGATCCAGCTGCCTGCACAACATGGAACATCTTTATTACAGATAAGTGATTTGACTAATGCTCCATGTACACTGTAGCTGATAAACTCATGTTTAGGAGCTTTTCTGTATTTTTTTTCAGCAGCCCCTGAACTCTCCCTAATGTTTTCCTATGTGTCCATGTACACTATGTCGTTTCCAGTCATTTACAGGCAGTTGAATTTGCAGCCTTTTTTTTAATGCACCAAATTTGCATTCAGGAGTAGATTTTATCAGCGTTTTCAAAAGCCAAACTCTTGAAATGCGGCTAACCGCGTTTATATAAAACATAAGGAATGCTGCGCTACATTCAAATCAACCAAATTGTGAATGTGGGATCCCAAAATATCAAATCAAAAAATGTGACAATGTTAACAATATTAACAATGCAAATCTATGCGTGCTTGCTGATAATAACAACAATCAAATAAATCACTCAAAAAATGTAAAACACAAAAAAAAAACACAAAAAACCATATCTATATGTATGTGCATGAACCAAAAATACACATACATATAATTAAATCACACGTGCCTATTGTGAAGTGAAAAAATAACCATAATAATGGTGACACAAAACTAATATCTCAAAGTCCAAAAAATATAAAATATTGTTGGTGAACAAAACAGTGCTTCCAAATTATACTGTTAGTGACCACAGGTGAAAACTCGTGTAGGTTTCTGGGTGTATATAGATCTACGAATCCAACCACCTTCTGGATTAGCCTCTCACCTCATCCCTTCGACCCTTGCGGATCAAAGAGCAGTAGTGGATCCCTCTCACAGATCCTCCAGGTACCAAAGCACTCCAAGACAGCTTTCAGGATATAATATTCCCACTATGGCTCTTCTCCAGGAAAGGTTGTAATATCAATCTCTCAGAATAAGACAAAGGAATCCTCCCATAGTGTAGTATATTTAATTATACCATAGGAACATGTAGCATATTTAAATAAAAACTTATGTAGCAGCCAGTCCACACTAAAGCCTCATGCTTTCAGATGAGGATATATCTGTTGGGTGTACAGCTGAATACACAGGTGTACCAAGATGGCCGTCTTGGTACACCTGTGTATTCAGCTGTACACCCAACAGATATATCCTCATCTGAAAGCATGAGGCTTTAGTGTGGACTGGCTGCTACGTAAGTTTTTATTTAAATATGCTACATGTTCCTATGGTATAATTAAATATACTACACTATGGGAGGATTCCTTTGTCTTATTCTGAGAGATTGATATTACAACCTTTCCTGGAGAAGAGCCATAGTGGGAATATTATATCCTGAAAGCTGTCTTGGAGTGCTTTGGTACCTGGAGGATCTGTGAGAGGGATCCACTACTGCTCTTTGATCCGCAAGGGTCGAAGGGATGAGGTGAGAGGCTAATCCAGAAGGTGGTTGGATTCGTAGATCTATATACACCCAGAAAACCTACACGAGTTTTCACCTGTGGTCACTAACAGTATAATTTGGAAGCACTGTTTTGTTCACCAACAATATTTTATATTTTTTGGACTTTGAGATATACAGACATTTTTTAACCTATGTTTTCCAGCAGTCAGTTTCCATTGTTCAGAAGTGCCCTGTGTACATGGAGCCTTAAGCTATAGAGTTTTATTTTTTTATCTAAACTTCAGTTCTTTAGAAAAAAGAATACACATTTATAAATTTTTTTTAGAGCAATTACAACCAAACCTTTAACAATCACATAGAAAAAAACACTAAACTAAAACACCAAATAGCATTGAAGTAATACTTTAATTCTGCAGCTAGACTCTGAAACCAGAGCTGTGACATGCAAAGAGCTTCTCTTATCCTCATCTCGACACTGATCAAGTTTACGGCTTTAATTAAAGCCATGTAGCAATGTAATACTTCCAAGACAGCTACAATGGACTGTCTCTGAAACAAAGCTGTTTATCTTACTCAAACAATAACAGAAAATATATTAATTACCTGCATGGGTGTTGTAATAAAATGGGGTGTTTAATAAGAGTAATAATAGAATAATAGCTGAGTACCTGGATAAAAGTGCTGTCTAACCAACATCGGTAACTTTTTTAACAGAATGAAAAAAAGGACTTAAGTTGCGTGAAAGTTACATATTTATCTTTTTCCTTACAGGATTCTTCTTTCTAACTTTTTTTTAAAGGGAAAAAATTTAATAGTTTGTGGCCAATTATATATTTTTTTTACACCTTTTTTAAGTTTCAAATTGATGTTTTTATATTCATTTTTTTACTATAGGTTTATCATTTTTGTTATACAAATAAACATTCAACATATTAGAAAGGATTCAAAGAGCCCTAAGATCTAGGGGAAAAAAAGCTGAAATGTAACTGCCTGCATTTTGTTTTGGTTTTTCTTTTTGTCTTATTAAAATAAAAGAACACCAGAGGGTACCAACTAAGTGCAGTATTATTATAAAACTTTAACCACTAGCCTACATGGCACTTATACCCCTTCCTGCCCAGGCCAATTTCCAGCTTTCAGTGCTGTTGCACTTTGTATAACAATTGCGTGGTCATGCAGCCACTGTACCCATATGAAATCTTTATCATTTTTTTGAGACAGATAGAGCTTTATTTTGGTGGTATTTAATCACCTTTGGGATTTTTTTTTTCTTAAACAAACCAAAAACCACTGAAAATTTTGAAAAAAAAAAAAAAGTTTTTTCTTAGATTTTGTTATACAATTTTGTAAATAAGTGACTTTTGTCCTTCACTGATGTGCGCTAATGAGGCTGCAGTGATGGGCACTGACAGGCTGCACTGATGGACACTGATAGGTGGCACTGATGGGCACTGATGAGGAGGCACTGGTAGGTTGCACTGATGGGCATTGACAGGCATCACTGATGGGCACTGAAAGGCAGCACTGATACATGACACTGATGCATGACACTGATATATGGCACTGACTGGCACTGTTAGGCAACACTGACTGGCACTGTTAGACAGCACTGACTGGCACTGAATAGGACGGTACTGACTGGCACTGATAGGCGACACTGACTGGCACTGATAGGTGGCACTGATTGGCAGCAGTGATAGGTGGCACTGATTGGCATTGATAGGTGGCACTGACTGGCACTGATGGGTGGACATTGAAAGGCAGCTCAGATGGGCACTGATATGTGGCATTGATGTGCACTGGTATGCACTGATATGTGGCATTGATGTGGCACTGGCACATGGCACTGATGGGCACTGGCACTGATGAGCACTGACAGGTGGCACTTCTGGGGCCACACTGATCATCAGGGCACACCGATCATCAGTGCCCTGATGATCAGTGTACATGTCCCCTCCGCGGAAAGCCGATTACCGGCTCTCCTCTCCTCTCGAGCTGTCAGCATGACAGCTCGAGAGGAGAGAAATTCCGATAACCGGCATTTCCGTGTTTACATGTAATCAGCTGTGATTGGACACAGCTGATCACATGACCGAGCTGACATCTTCGGCTCTTTTCCATGATCCGCTGTGTCCGAGGGACACAGCGGACTGGCGATCGCCGCGCTGCGCGCTCCCTGAGCTGCGCGCTCCCTGAGCTGAGCATGCGCAGTGAGAATGGTAGGACATCATATGACGTTCTATCAGAACGAGAGAACCACCTTGCGCACGCCGTCGTCATATTACTATAGGGCGGGTGGAAGGTGGTTAATGGTTAAAATGCTTGTAGCCACTCAAATGCTATAAAAAGAGCAAAGAAGGGCAACCAAACTGAAAAGGGGCATGGAGGAGCTCAGGTATGAGGAAAGATTAGAGGAACTGAATTTATTCTCTCTTGAGAAGAGGAGATTAAGGGGGGATATGATCAACATGTATAAATACATCAGTGGTTCATATCGTGAACTCGGTGTAGAGCTATTCACCCTGAGATCATCACAGAGGACAAGGGGGCACTCTTTACGTCTGGAGAAAAAGAGCTGTGAAAATGTGGAATAGACTCCCTCAAGAGTTGTTTCTGACCAGCTCAGTGGATTGCTTTAAAAAAGGGCTGTATTCTTTCTTGGATACACAGAATATAACTGGATACTAACATTTATAGGTAAAGTTGATCCAGGGAATATCTGATTGCTTCTCGGGGGATCAGGAAAGAATTTTCCCCTGCCGGAGCAAATTGGATCAATGTTTTGCTGGGGTTTTTTTTTGCCTTCCCTCTGGATCAATGGTGGGTATAGGATTATAACTTTTTTTTCAGCTTGAACTGGATGGACTTTTTTCAGCCAGACTAACTATGTAAGTATGTATGGAAGTGCAAAAACTGGTAGGGATAAGCCAATATCAGGACCCTCATTCCCAGGGAGGCTGTGGATGGAGCTTCAGAACAAGAGACAAGCTGCCCATGTTCACAAACAGAAAGCTCAATCCACAGCCTCCCAGTTTTTAATAATACTGCACTTTGTTGGCGTCCCCTCATAATTTTTTATTTCATAGACATTGCTCCTGTATTCTGGTAGAGCAGCCTTCAAACGTCAGCTCATATGGACCTTTAGATGGACTTTTAAGTTGAATAAGTGGTTTTATATTAATCATTAATGTTCACTGGGGCTTGTTGCTCCCTTAGGGGTTGAGGCTGGACTCTATTTTTCCTGGTTTGCGTCATACAGTATATGTGTTTTTTAATTTCTTTTATTGATATTTTGGATGGAGCCATCTGGTGAGGAATAAGTTACTGTGTTTAAATTGATCACTTGCATGTGTAAACAGCTACTGAGCTCTATAAACAACAGTTTTTTATTTTCATCAGAGGAACTAGAAGAGCATGTAAACATTTGGAAAGGTTTCTGAGAACTCTACTTGCTAGAGTGACCATGAACAGAGAATTTATTTTCAGAAATTTTTGTGCCATATATTATAATTAGGGATGAGCAAATCTTCCCGGGTTTGGATTGCAAACAGGTTCACTAATCTTGCTTGAAGTTCACAAAAACAGTATCTCTTCCTACACAGAATTGCCAGCACTCCTTAACAGCGACTCGTAGCTATGCACTGCATTATAGTTTGTTCCTCATTTCTAGTGGCTAACCCGCAAAATGTTTGAACAAAAATTCATGGTTTGTGAACTTAGTGAATGCAGGGGATTCATTGCAACCACATGGTAGTAATAAAACTACATTTAAAAAATACGTTCACTTTAAAAAAATAAATAATTAAATGCCCATTTTTTTTAAGGTAAAAAAAAATGCGCATTTACAATTTTTTTTTTTTTTTTGGAGCCTGTAAAGCATTGCACCAGTGATCAGCAGATGGTGCTGGTGCCATGCAGGTCTCCTCCAGATTGTCAGTCTATTCTGTGTGCTCGTACATTGTATGAGCAGACAGTTTCACACTGACAGGAAGAATGAATGAACTACCACAGCGCTCAACAGCGACATGGTTGTTCATTGAGAACTACAAGCCGGCATGCGCAAAAGATGTTGGGACTTGTAGTTCATTTTGTTTACAGACCTCTGTGAATGAATGATGCAGCCGTGTGGATGTTGAACGTTGTTTTAAAAGAAAAACAACACCAGACAGTGAACGTCTCTCCATACTGCTGTCACAGGGAGAGAGGGCAGCGGACAGCGGCTGCAGCAGTGGGAACGCGTTACATGTTCCACCCTAAACATATGTTCCCAAAGGTGAATTTATCCTTTAATAAATTTTATTTTATGTATATTAATCTCATTGCTATAACCAGTGTATCATTTTTTAATATTGCTACTTTTTTTGTAAACTACACTGTGGGAGGTTGTAACTATAACCTTTGTTTTTCCTAGGGATGCACAAAAATTTGTGGAGAAATTTGAAGGTGCTTTGGGGAAAGGGAAAGGGAAAGAAATTTTATGCCTACAAAGTCATGATGTGTTAAAGGTATGGAAGAAGCATGCATGCATGGGCAAATGCCATACATTAGTTGTCATTCTAGACTGGCTTTAGTGGTGAGCTTCGTATGTAGGTGTCTCCAACAAATCAAGTCATGGATGACCACTGTGTAACGAATAACAATTTATAAAAACTGGAGCAGACAGAATCTGGAATAGTTCTGCAAGACAACCAATCATCTTATATCTTCAGCTTGTTCGGTTAACCACTTGCCCTCTGGAAGATTTACCCCCATTCCTGACCAGGCCATTTTCTGCTATGTGGTGCTGCACTATTTAAACTGGAAATTGCATGGTCATGCAATGCTGTATCCAACCAAAATGTAGGTCCTTTTTTTTCCCCACAAATAGAGCTTTCTTTTTTTTACTATTGATTACCTCTGGGTTTTTATTTTTTGCCCTATAAACAAAAGAAAGACCAAACATTTTTTTAAAAGAAAGAAAGACCCAATATTTTCTAATTTCTGTTATAAAAATTATCCAATAAAGTCAAATGTCATCATAAATTTAGGCCAAAATATATTTTGCTACATGTCTTTGGTGAAACAAAAATCACAATAAGTGTATATTAATTGGTTTATGTGAAAGTTATAGCGTGTATATGTACTGGGATTTACTCCATTTTTAGCAATACAGCACTATGCTAGTTTAACTGACAATTGTACAGTCATGCAGTGCTGTACATACATGAAATATATGTAATTTTCCCCCCACAAATAGAGCTTTCTTTTGGTGGTATTTGATCATCTGTAGGTTTTTAATTATTTGCGCTATAAACAAAAAAAAACCCAAACATTTAAAAAAAAGCTATATTTTCTAATTTCTGTTATAAAAATAATATCCAATGAAGTCAAATTTTGTCATAAATTTAGGCCAAAAATGTATTTTGCTACATGTCTTTGGTGAAAAAAATCCCAATAAGTAAATAATAATTGGTTTGTGTGAAAGGTATAGCATCTACACACTATGGTACTGGAATTTAACCAGCTTTTACTATCTGACTGCCTATCACATTTCTTGAGGTGCTAAAATGCCAGGGCAGTACAAACACCCCCAATTTACTACTTTTTGTAAAATAGACACCCTAAGCTATTTACTGAGAGGCATGTTGAGTCCATGGAAGGTTTATTTTTTCCACAAGTTTTTGGAAAATGATTATTTTTTCTTTTACACAACGTTGTCATTTACCTGGTATATTGCTCACACATGCCATGGGTATATTTGGAAGTACACCCCAAAATACATTCTGCTACTTCTACTGAGTATGGGGATACCACATGTGTGAGACTTTGTGGGAGCCTAGCTACATGCAGGAGCCTAAAATCCAATTACCTCTTTGAAAGTCTGAAGGTGCGTAATTTCCTCATTTCACTTCTTCACTAACTATCACAGTTTGAAGGCCAGGATAGCCCCCCCCAATGACCCTTTTTTGGACAGTAGATGCTCCAAGGAATTTAATAAGAGGTATGTTGAGTATTTTGCAGATATAATTTTTTTCTCACAAGGTTCTGAAAAATAAAAAAAGGAAAGAAAATATGCGTTTTCTTTTTCTTTCTTTATTTTCCAAAAAACTTGTAGTAACAAACAAGATCTGTAAAATACTCACTATGCCTCTTATCAAATTCCTTGGGGTGTCTGCTTTCCAAAAAGGGGTCATGGGGGGGTTGCATTACTTTGGCATTTCAGGGCCTCCGAAACTGTGATAGGTAGTCAGGAAGGGTAATGAGGAAATAAAGCCCTTTAAAAGCTTGAAGGTTCTTATTAAATTCTGGGGTCCAGTACACGGCTAGATTGCCAAAAAATGCCTCACACGTGGTATCCCCATACTCGGGAGAAATAGCAGAATGTATTTTAAGAAGTAATTCCACATATACCCATGGCATGTGTGAGCAATATATCATTTAATTGACAACTTTGTGTAAAAAAAAATAATTTTTTTTTGTCATTTTCCAAAAACTTAAAAAATTTAATTCTGCTAGTGATTCAGCATGACTCATTGCAAATAGTTTGGGGTGTCTACTTTCCAAAAAGGGGTAATTTGGGAGGGGGGTGTTGTTATCTTGGCATTGTATGCCCTTCATTAGAAACTTATGCCACACATCACTCACTCTTCTAGCCACTTAACGACCAAGCTTTTTTATGCAATTTTTTATGTCACACAGTACTTGGGCAGCGATTTTTCAAACGCTAATTTAAAAAAAAAATACACTTTTTTTTAATTGT